AAAAAAAAGGAAAAAGTCAGGAAAGCACTAGAGGAACAATCAAATAAGATAGAGCATTAGAAACAATTCAAAACATACAGAAAGAGGTCTAAACGATTAATAATATCAGAAATTGACAATACACTTAAAGGGCAAAGGAGTAGAACTGAAGAAATAGAAGCCAGAACTAGTGAGCTAGAAGACAAATCTCTCAACATTACTAATATACAAGAACAAACACAAAAAAGGATAAAAAAATCTGAAGAAGGCCTAAGATTCGTGTTGGATAACATGAAGAGGAATAACATAAGAATTATTGGCATTCCAGAACAAGAACAATCACACGAGTCCACAGAGGAGATAGTTGAAGAGCTTTTGGAAGAAAATTTTCCTATCATCCTGAAAAATTAAAAGATAAGCATTCAAGAAGCTCAACGAACCCCAAGATGGAGAGACCCTAAAAGACAATCACCAAGACATATAATAATCAAGCTCTCCAAAATCAAAGATAAGGGCAAGATCTTAAAAGCAGCTAGGGAAAAGAAAAATATAACATACAAAGACAAGCAAATCAGATTAAGCTCAGATTTTTCAATAGAAACCATTCAGGCAAGAAGGCAATGGGGAGAGATATATAAAACCCTGAAAGAAAAAAACTGCCACCCAAGAATCCTCTACCCAGCAAAGCTGTCAATAAAATACAATGGTGTAATCAAAACTTTCCAGGATAAGCAGAAGTTAAGGGATTTTGTCAAAGCCAATCCTGCTATGAAAAACATCCTAATGGAAGTTCTGTGGACTGAGAACCAATAAGAACAGATAACTACAGAATGATGTACATGGCAACATAAACCTGAACTCAATCAACACACTGAAGAGTCAAGAACAGAATAAAATTATAAGAACAGAGGATCTGGGAGATCAGTCTATGATCAAAACAATTACAATGTGAAAAAAGGTAAACACAGGAACAGAGATCCAGGTGGTGGGTAGGTCAGGCAGATTACTGGATAAAATAGACTTGTCTTAAATGGAGGGAAGAACTAATGGAATATAATAAGGTAACTACAATGGGGTTGGGGTGGGGGATTTACTTTGGATGTTGGGGAGGGCAATCCAAGAATAGGGGAGGAGGCAGAAGAACAAGATAGAGAGGGGAACACTAAGACAGGTTTGCATGGCCTAGTGGGACAGAGGTAAATAGTGATGCATACTCAACCTTGGAATAACAGGGCTCTGGGATACAGGGACCTAGGTATAGCTTGAAGAGGGGAAATAATACTAAAATCCTTGACAGCCTTATGAACATTAGTTTTCCTCGCCTACTATTGTAAAATAGACACTTGAGTGGGATAGAAAGGAATGTTGGGAAACATGATTAGAGAACACTTGTAAGCCCGCCTTCAGCCAATAACTGATTGGAATACCTAAAAGGGGTTCTACAATTTACCCAGTGAAATAGACCTCGTGCAAAGCCTTTATAGAGTATAGGACCTTAGGTGGAATCCTGAGTCCCATCTAGAACCTTATGAGGTGAGACATTCCCACTAGAAAGGACAAGCAGACTGGAATAGCTACAGTGACAGAAGATACATCTCCATGATGAACCTGACCTATACTCAGAGCGGTAGTTGCTGTAAATACCAACAGAGAGGGAAAGAGTCTTCACCTCAAGTATCAATGCTATCTGATCTGTACACAGGCAACTTAAGACACTGGCTACCTAAAATGAGGTGGCAATAAAGGCACGAAGTGACTAGCTTACAAGGTTTCAAGGGGGTGTTTAGTTTAAGAGTATGGGGGGAAAGAAAGAGTCCCCACTGAATAGCTAACATTTTGTCTAGATGGGTCTGGTGAAAAGAGATGGGGATAAAATTCGTAAGATTCAATAGTGAATAATTGTTATCATGACTAATCGTGACTGTCACAATTATAAAGGTAGAAGTTTTGTAACAAAAAAAGGGGAATGGTTAATCTCACAGTCCAGAAACAGAGGACCGTAGGGCTATCAAGAGAAGAACACACAAGTAGAATGCGGGACCTTATCTAGAGAAGCAGCAGCACCAGAGATGGAGGCAGAGATGGGGGCGTGGAGAGAGGGAGTGGCTGAGGACTCTAGATTCATGGACTAAGAAGAGAAGGACTAAGAGCTGGTGGCCAGGAGCAGACTTGCATAACGTGCCCTTTAGAGATGTAAATTATTATGTATGCCTGAGTGGGTTTTTTTGGTCTGTTTTTAAAAAAAGCTAAAGTAGATAGAGAGAAACACTGTTAACTGATGGTACATGGAGGGGATTATAATCAATGCAATGAAACAAGGTATATGATTTGTTGAATGTAAAACTGATGATACATCCTGTAAACTTTCACGCAATCCACAATAAAATCCTTAAATGAAAAAATAATAAAATAAAATAAAAATACATATATGTTGTTGTTGTTATGTGCTGTAGAGTCGGTTCCGACTCATAGCGACCCTGTATAGGGTTTCCGAGGCTGTAAATCTTTACAGGAGCAGATTTTATATATATATATATATATAGAAGATTAATTCTTACCTGGAAAAAAAACAAAACAAAAAAACTGTTCCACAAAATACATACTATAACTCAATAGATCACCTATGCCAGGTGATTTATTCTAATGCAACTTCTGACCATTGCTTCCAAAAATGAAATAAGCATTATATTAGAACCCTTTTGAAGAATTATTCTTGGTAATTTGGATTGTGATACCTGGGGGGACTACGTTGGGGGTGGTTAGGGGAAGGGCACAACTAGGAGCTAAACAAAATATCTTTAAATATGGACGAAGAATTATCACTTTCATAATGAACTCATCTGTTTTAGTCACCTAACGGTGGAATACATTTAGTCATTTTGGAATCGTGGGGGGAAATGTATTAGCTGTTCTTAATTATTCTTTTAATATATTAAACTGAAAATGACTTCATACTCAATTACTGTGCGTTTGTACTGCTTGATGTCCTCATGTTTCTTATTTATTTTGAATTGTACTGTGGCAAGTTTTTCCTTCTTTGCAATCATCAGTCTTTTCAATGAATTTTCTTCGGCCTTCAATTTCTTTAGTTCTGATTCTTCACTCTCAATTTGGTCCTCCAAGTTCAGGCTCTATATTTTATAAGAAGTACTTAAAGTCAATGTAACGAATTAGGATTCAATACCAAAACATGTCTTAAAATGAGTTGTAATACAATGTAAATTTAAAATGAGGCAAAACTGTTTAATCTTGGAAGCTAGGCAGAAAAATGCAGCCTGAACCAAGAAGACTACACAAAGGCATTATGGGCTCTTAGAAAAAACATACCAATTAAGAGTGGTGGTTTTTATCATGTTATCCTATCAGTTTTTCAATATATGCTAAACAGCAAGGATTAAAACAGAGAAATACATTAGGAAGACCAGCTAATTACTAGGGTTGGAACTAAGGTAATAATAAAGAGAAAACAATAGACCCTAGAAATAATGAAAAGTATTGTTCTCAAGCTATTTTTAGTGAATTTGATGTGCAGATAAGGGGAAGTATGTAGTGTAGTTGGAAGAAAACAACAGCTCAGATATTTTCTTCACCTTTTAATCCTACTTCCATCAAAAACAACACCACAAGATAGTTTATATAAATGCAATGTCAGTGATCCCAAAGACTGGTGTGCTGAAGAAGTAAAGCATGGCTTTCACGTTTCTAGCCTGAGAAACTTGAATAATGTTGACTGAAGCTCTTGTTCTTCTCTTATGACACAGGACAGGGGCTATGTCAGAAACATTAAAATGTCTTTATAGGATCTAGGTACAATGCTGGGCACAAAATTGGAACTTCATGCTTATTGAGAATATGATCACTTCTAATCATTAGGAAATATTTACAGTCCATTACTATTTTCATAATTATACACTTAACAACTGTGCTATGATAATTCATTTAGTATTCATTTCATTTAAAGGTCAAAATGGGTTTATTCCCTAGCATGTATTGCTACAGCTATTATACTGCTGTATGATCCCTGCTTTTCATTAGGAAAACACTAACAAAAAACGGAAAGTGAATCCAAGGAACAATTATAAACCACAGCGTAATAAAGACATAAACATTCCACATGGTACAAACCTCCTTTAAGATACCCGTCAGTTTATCCTTATTATCTGCAAGGTCTTGTATTTTCTTTTGATATAACTGCACCTCCAGCTGACACGAAGGCAGGCAGTCAACTGAATCTCGATAGGTTTCATATTTTTCCATCACTTCTTGCTTTGGAAAAAAACAAACAAAACAAAGCACAGATAATCTTCTTTCTGTAACTGCAGCAATATCTATTTATTTGCTCTTAAATAATTTCTGCACTTAGTACTGAAAGCTTAAAAGCAGAGAACAATTAAGTTTCTACGTCAGTAACAAAGTACTGCTACTCACACGTGTCTCAGCACATACAACTAGGTGTCTTTAGCTGCCAGACTTCCTTCACAAAAGAAAACTGCTATGATCTTTCCAAATCACTCACTGAAGTATCTTCTAGAGGTTATCCATACTATTTAAAAGATTTCGTTTCTGTTAGTACTCAAACTGCTCCTATTACCCATTTATAATCTTCCTATTCACTTGTGTCTTTGAGTAACTGTTACACCTAACTGTTTTAAAAAGATGAATTCTTCTAAAATCACAAAATAACATATATAAAAGAACCATTAAAACAATACAAAGATAAATACTTTAAATTGAATCTCCCTCTTTCTTCTAACATGTTGATTAGGCAGCTGGACTTTGTTTTTAGTGTAATAGTCATATATTGTCCATCTTTGCAGATCAGATATCTATCATATACAGTGCAAATATATTCTAATAGGACTACTTTTTTCTATAACTTGTGTTCCCAATCTTGATATAAAAGGTTATTTTTAATCCCTGTTCAAGATTACACAAATGTCCTAAAATTTTTAAAATTATTAATTCATATGAAATGTATGTTTGTAAATGGTGCAAGGTAAAACCACACCTCCCTTTCCTTCTAGGTGAGGAGACAATTGGGCCAGAAATATTTAACATAGTATTTCACAAATACTCAGATCTTTCTTTGGACTATTTTTGTTCTGTGGATATATGATAGTTCTTAAATATCAGAAATAACCTGGATAGCAATTTCTAAGATAAGCCAATAATTGTTTTATATAATTATTTGCAACCATGCTTTGCAATTACTTACTTTTACCCCACCCCATTCAATCCATCTCCCATAATAACCCAGGATGTTTAAACATAAATCATACCATGTACCTACAACCTCTTTCTAAACTAGTCAGTGGTATACTCTTGCTCTTATATTAAAATCTAGCACCTACATAATCTGCCTGTTGCCTATTTCTCCATCATTGTATTGTACCACTTTCTCCACTGACCATGCTTTTTCCCTTGGACATACCTCAGTTCCCAACTACCTTATAAAATTAGCATTTCAAATGTTCTTCTCTTTACAATTTACCCTAATAACTTCTATCATCCTTCAGTTGTCAGCACACATTTACACTTTATATCTCACTCCTCCTGATTGCTGCAGTATTAAATTATTGCTATTATTAAGTGCCACTGAGTCGTTTCTGACACATAGGTGCCCTATGTAGGGTTTTCAAGAAGTGGCCGGTCTTATGGTTCAAACTATCCTTGTGTTTCAAATGGACCCTATGGTCCAGTGTTTATCAAACAGCACCACACCAGGCCTCCAAAACTAATTTTTTTTGTTGTTGTTTTTAAGTGCCATTAAGTCGTTTACGACTGATAGTGACCAGGTGTAGGGTTTCCGAGGAGCAGCTGGTGGTTTTGAACTACTGACCTTATAGTTTACAGTCCAGTGCTGACCCTACATCTCTGCACCAGGAGTCCATTAATACTAAATTGTTGTTGTTGTTGTGATGTGCTGTTGAGTCGGTTCCAACCCACAGCGACGCTGTATAGGGTTTCCAAGGAGTAGCTGGTAAGCTTGAACTGCCAACCTTACAGTTCACATGGTTTTGCAGTCTGGCGCATTAACCCACAGCGCCACTAAATTGGGCTTCCATTATTACATTATTTCAAAGAAACATACTTTTTACACAGAATATATTATAGTTTATAATAATATAGTTGATTTTCAATTCATTTAATACATTTCTCTCTTGTAAGAAAGAAACTAAGTCTCATGAGGAAAGGGTATTTATTTGATCACCACAGCATAGCCTCAAAAATCTGTTGCAAAATTGAGCGAATGTCTTGAAATTATATTTCATTTCTCTATATTCACTCTAGAGAAGAGCTTCAAATTAGATAAAAGGATCAAAATTTGTAAGAGGACAACAAGCACAAATAATTCAGAAATAAGGAAACACCTGACTAAACAAGAGTTTGCTATAAAGCAAAAAAAAATAAGAAAGCATTAAGTACGAGGGAAACTAACCCTGGAAGTTTTAAGCTTCTGCACTGTGTCTTTCATTTTTTCTTTATAATTCTTTAGCTTTTCTGGAGAATCCACAATTTTTGCTTTCAAACTCTCTTGTACTTCTTTCAAAGAAGTCAGGGACAATTTTAGTTCATTCTGTGAAAAAAAAAAAATTTTTATGGTATTAGAAAAATAACCTTGGAGATTTACTAGGACAATAACGGGAAAGGACAAAGAAATCAGATTTATGTTCACTGTAGTGAAGGTAAAGTAACCTTTACATCACTCCCCTGTTCAATCACTCACACATTGGTCTACCGACCAGAGACCACAATCCTTAACATGATAATGAAGGCCTTTCATGATTTGGTTCTTACTTATTCTCCTTTCCAAGCTCATTTCCCACCTGTTATCTACTGAACTCAACATTTGGACAATTAGAAGTGCTCTCTCTTAGACCACTATGGTCTTCCTAAGTATATCAGGCTCCCACACACTGGTGAGTGTCTACTGATCTTTGAACATTATAATTATTATATATACACTATACTATAATTATGTATTTTTGTCTTTCCTAATTGACTAACAAGTTATCTTTGTTTTCCCTGAATGCAACACAGTAATAGCATTAAAAAGATGTTCAGCCAAATCATATTCCTTTCTTGCCCTGAATTTCAAAAGTAAATGTAATCTTTTGGTGAATTAAGGTAAAACATACTTGGGAATTCTCTCAAAACTTCTGGGCTAATCTGGATTATGCAATAAATAAATCAATAAATCATGTGAGGCCCTTTCCACATTGTTGTTGTGGTGGTGGTTAAGTGCTGTCGAGTCGGTTTCGACTCATAGTGACCCTGTACAGGGTTTCCAAGGAGCGACTGGTGAGTTTGAACTGCTGACTTTGTGGTTCAATCCAACCTTCAGTCCAGTGCATTCTCCTACAGCGCCACACTAGGACTCATCCCTTTCCACATATGTGTCGATAAATCATATTTGCTTGTAAATTTACTTTTAAATTCTCTATGACTCCATGTACTGTCGTGGAACAATTTCGAAGACATATTAATGAAAACAAAATCCAAAGATCAACAAGAACACGCAGCCATTTCTATAGTAACAGAACAACAGAATCATGGCACATATAGGCATGAAATGTCAAGTAAAAGAGTCTAGCAGGGTGTTACTGCTAAGTAGGAAAGTGGGTTGACAGAAGAGTGCCTTTCATGTTTGACTCAAATATGTATCATTTGAGCATTTCATAGTGCAAGCACATTACTATGCTGCTTATATGATTTTTTCTAAAGGCACTTACTTACTTTAGTTCAGACACTCATAGGCCAAAATTAAACACTATTTCTGTTATTTTATTCTTAGTGTTTAGCAAGGTTCTATACTATCTACTTTTATGTCCTACAAAACTAGAAACCACTTCCCTAACAACAGCATTGACTTTCATAACTTTTCTTACTGTTATAAAAAAGTCTAAACTTGATATCATAATGTGACATTGCTTTATCTTGGTTTTAAATAGAACAGAAAGGGGGAAAAAAAAAGAAGAAACAGTACTACTCAAACGAAACTACTTATCAGTAAGAGTCATAGAAAAAGAAGGAATGTTATACCAAAATAAATACAAGAACATTCTACAGTTAAAATAGTAAAATTGACTTATATCAACATATATAAAGAACAGTCAAAACATAACAATAACAAACAACTCGATTATAAAATGGGCAAAAATTCTGAATAGAATTCTCATCAAAGATATACAGATGGCAAATAAGCATATGAAAAATACTCAATATTCAAACCTCTGCTATTGAGTTGGTTCTCATTCCCAGTGACTCTATAGGACACAAAAGAACTGCTCCTTATATTATGCTACCTTGAAGAATAACAAGGGAGCAGCAAGCCACCGCATAACATGGATGAACCTTGAGGACATTATGCTGAGTGAAATTAGTCACAAAAAGAGAAATACTGCATAGGACCACTACTGTAAAAGACTAAGAAAAAGAAACCGTACTAAAGGGGGATAGGGAGAATTCTTTGTTGATTGCTGGGAAGTTGGTGGTGGGTGAGGAGAGGGAGGAGAAGGTGGTGCACAGGGTAAGGATTAGACACAGGAAAGTGTGGGTGCTGGGGAGGCGGGCAATATACAAGGAGGGAGAGGGAAACGGAAGAACAAAGCAGATGGGAGAACAATTAGGCATGTTTGAATGGGCTAAGTGGGACAGAGATAATGAATGATGTATGCACAACCTTGGAACTACAGGGCTCTGGGTTACAGAGATTGAGTCATGGTTGGTATGGGGAAAAGGGGAGAATCATGTTAAGATGCTCGGCAGTCTTTCGAATCTTGGTTTTCCTTGCATTATAATATAAAATAGACACCAGAGGGGGAGAGAAAGGAATAGTCAGAAACATCACCATAGAAAGCTTATAAGTCCGTCTTCTGCCTATAACTGATTGGAATACCTAAAATGGGGCTAGAAAGTGCCCAGGGAAGGAGGCTTCCTGAGGAGCCTTTGCAATACATAAGACTATAGGTAGAAGCCTGAACCACATCCAGATCTCCAGAGATGGGAAATTTCCACTTGAAAGGACAAGCAAACCATCCTGGAGTGGCTAAAAGAACAGAAGATACTTCTTGAAAGAAAGACCTACAGGAAAAATACCAAACAATAGAGGCAGATGGACTGTTACTACAAGAACAAACAAATTGCTTGCACAGGAAACATCAAGGCAAGTGGTTGAGTCCCCTCAATGCAAAACCCCTTCCAAGACTAAGACTCAACGGAAATATGTGCTCTGATTGGTGACCACATGCATCATCGATAGGGGGAAGTGGGGTAAAAGCAGCAATGAA